GCGTGTCCGGCCAGGACGTCGAGCGTGGTACGTTCTCGCAGCGCCACGCCGTGATCCACGACCAGGAGAACGAGCAGCAGTACGTGCCGCTGAACAATCTCGGCGGGGACCAGGCGCGCTTCGTCGTGTGCAACTCGTCGCTGTCCGAGTACGGCGCGCTCGGGTTTGAGCTCGGCTACTCGCTCGTCTCGCCGAACGCGCTGACGATCTGGGAGGCGCAGTTCGGCGACTTCGCGAACAACGCGCAGTGCATCATCGACCAGTTCATCGCGTCCGGCGAGCGCAAGTGGTTCCAGCGCACCGGCCTCGTCGTCAACCTCCCGCACGGGTTCGACGGCCAGGGCCCGGAGCACTCGAGCGGCCGCATGGAGCGCTTCCTCCAGCTGTGCGACGACCACCCGCATGTGTACCCGACGCCGGAGAAGATCGAGCGCCAGCACCAGGACTGCAACATGCAGGTCGTGTACCCCTCGACGCCCGCGAACTACTTCCACGTCCTCCGCCGACAGATTCACCGCGACTTCCGCAAGCCGCTCATCCTCTTCTTCTCGAAATCCCTCCTTCGTCATCCTCGCGCGCGTTCGGAGCTCTCGGATATGGCTGGCGACACCCACTTCCAGCGTTACATCCCCGAGCCTCACTCGGACGACCTGGTCGCTCCCGAGAAGATCCGCCGCCACATTCTCTGCACAGGTATGCTTCTTTTTCTCGGAATACGTCTCAATAGCTTCCTGACATTGGCGTTCCCCAGGCCAAGTCTACTACACGTTGCTTCAGGAGCGTGAAGAGAAGGGCATCAAGGACGTAGCCATCAGCAGACTGGAGCAGATCTCACCCTTCCCTTACGACCTCGTGCGTTTCCCCTTCTTATTCGTCCGGTTATGCTTAAACTCATCGTCTCGCTGTAGTTGACGCCTCACCTCGACAAGTACCCCAACGCGGACCTTCTCTGGTGCCAGGTAAGCCCGTCCGCCCTTGTAACATGCTCGATATCATGTTGACCACTTTGTACCTGTGTAGGAGGAGCCCATGAACAACGGCGCGTGGTCGTACGTCGGCCCCCGCATTCTCACCGCCGCGAACGAGACGCAGCACCACAAGGGCAAGTACCCGCTCTACGCCGGCCGCGACCCGACGAGCTCCGTCGCCACGGGTAGCAAGGTACGTCTACGCAAGCATGCCATCATTACACATAGAATGATTACTGACGCGTGGCTTGCAGGCGTTGCACAAGAAGCAGATCGAACAGTTCCTCGCGGAGGCATTCAAGCAGTGAACCGACGCTGGGGAACGTCGGTCTGCCAGACAAAAACAGCGGACTTCTGACTATATACGTCTAGTATCTACAGCCTAGCCTATATCTAACGTGTCCGATAGTAGCTCGCGGAATGGATATCCGTCTAATCTTGTCATGCATGAGCGACATGGTGTACGCGGAGTGGAACGTATACGGTGGGCAGCGTTGACATATTGCAATTGAGGCTTGAATGAGCCCCGTGCATGTAGTCCTCCTTTCCACTGCTACACGACGAGTCATCACGGAGACGAAGGTAACAAGTACGTCATGAGCCGAAGACGACGTCGGTCCAACAAGCCATAGCATTACATACAATAGTAGTAACCGTTGGTATGATGCGAGTGACATTCCGAATCGTAACTGGTCGTAAACAAATCGTGACAGAGTACATATGGTATAAGTGAATAGTTGAGTACGTGAATGCTAATCAACTGAGCGAGTCTCTGATAAGGTCAAATGGAAACACATCCGCACATCCGATCGATTCGTCCTCTACCGTCGCGCGATGAGACAGGTATAGATATAGGGATGATACAGTGTTCAGAGTCAAAGATGGGTATGCAAGGACCATGTCGAGACTGAGCTAAGACGTCATCGTACACAATCGTATTCGTTCGGGTGAGAGGCGCAGCTACCGAGGCGCAGAGGTCCTCAATCGACGTAAACCTCCGTACCGGGTGTCCACTTCGCCTTGGGGGTATACTTGAGGGTCGTGTCTTGCATCCGCTCGCGCACCGTGACGTGGAACTTCGGCGGCGCGTCCGTCGGGATGTCTCGTCCTCTTCCCAGATGGATCCTGCAACCAAACCTCTGTCAGCTTGACCGCATATAGGGGCCGGCTGAGCGGGATACGTACCACCACTTAGTCTTCCAGTTCCCCGCGGCATCTTGGTAGGTGCACGAGGTCGGGATGATCTCGAGCAGCCACCACGACTTGGTGATCTGGAGCTGGTCATGTATCGGCGTCAGAGCATCGGCGCTCGCGTCCAGAGGGTCCGTGGACGATCCGCCCGAGGAACCAGGGCTAGTCTTCGGGGCAGGATCCGCCGTGCTGGGAGGATCCTGAGTATCCGTCGTCTGAACAGGCGCTTTGTCGATTGCGGAGCTCGGATGGACAGCTGTAACGGAGCTCGACGCAGCGACGTCGTCGTGGATGGTGAATCCATGGTGACGCTGGTTTCTCGAGATCTCCGCCTGGGAGGGAAGTACGAAGCCTGTCCCGCGGAAGATCGACTCGGGGATGTTCGCGCGCAACAGGGCGGCGTCGTCGAAGGCAATGCCGCACTGCGCCAGCACGACTTCGCGCACCATCCAGCGCAGCGTTATGTCCGAAAGGCTAACCGTGACGTCGTCAGCGACTGCGCCGCCACCGACATCTGTGGAGCGGCGAATGAGATATCGTTTCGATGCTCGCGCAGTCAAGCTTAGAGACTGGATCGGCATACATACCAGCGTGACATCCCGCGAACCAAACCTCCAAGACGTCCGTGCCGCCGTCGATCTTGTCACCTAGCGCGTTCTCCGCCAAGCGCAGCGGACTCGCGGATGTAGGGGTGATGCCTTCACGAACCTCTGCTCTAGCGTGATCCTGTTGCAGTTTGGCCTTCTCTACCTTGACCGCGTAACGGCGAGATTTACCAAACAGCCGAGGAAGTAGCGACTTCTTGGACTTCCGCTTCCCCTCCTCCATAGTCGTCGTAGTCTGCTCAGACGCTGTTCGCGCCTCACCCTGGTGGTGTTGGGCGAGTCCATTCGTAGAGAAAGCGCGGTGTTTGGCGGCAGATTGTTCTGCTGGGGTAGCGCGGTGGTAGAAGTTGGGCAGGAATCTCACGCGGTGCTAGTCTCACTCGTCAGGCGTTGTCCGAACAAAACCATAACATGAGCTCCGAACCTCATCCAAAGCGAGCGCGTGCCGGAAGGTCTTGATGGTCGTATTGGCCGTAGTAAAGGGTAGCGTACGCGTCATCAAGACGCCAACGCTGGAAACGGTCTCCCTGTAGCATTTGAGCACGCTGAAAGCGCATATACCCGGGAGCAGCCTCACCATACGCCTACAAATTCGATGTCGACGTTCCTGCAAAACGTCTGCTTAAAACCTGCAGCCAATTCGAGGCTACCTTTGTCCGTCTGCTTGTACAGTTTGTATGCGAATGGAATCTGCTCTGTGTTGTCTCTGGGAAGTAGTCCAATCTATGATTTACCGTCGCACTGGTCAAGCCTATTGATTCCGGTAACAGGGCACTCGTCCTTACCTTGTGGAGCATCCCAGCGAGCGCTCTCGCTGTGTATGCGCCTCTGGAGAAGCCTGATCGTACGGAACAGGGTACGTAATATGTTCGCGGTCGAGCTTCGGAAAAAGGCTTACCGAAGAGACAGATTCTGTCACCGGCAGTATAATTCTGCATCAGGAACTGGTACCCTCCTCGTACGTGCGCGTCGAGATACCTGATAGGGGTGAGGAAGAATGGTGGAATAGAAGTCCTCGAAACGCACCACGCGAAGGCTTCGTCAAGGATCTTGGCGGCCCATTGGAAGAGCGGAGATACGACGCCGGGATTGAAGTACGTTCCGACACCTGGCTGAGTATCCTCGGGTTAGAACAACCCGTCAGGCGCCCACCGAAGAACTGTAACTCTCTTATGACGTCGGGCGCAGCTCCGGTGTTCATGGTGAATGGGAACACGCAGGTGGGCACCGGGCATGTGTCCCAACCTCACGAAGAGCGCAGTCCCCGGTAACGCTGTTTCAAGCTCACCTGGTAGTAGCATAACTGCTCATCATTGTCGTCGTCTTTCTTGAGCAGAGAGTAGAATTTGACAACGTTCGTATTCTAGAGGAAACCCCGTAAGCTTCATATACACCACGTCGAGCGGCCATTGACGCACGTCGCCGTCGTACTGCTCTGCCGTGCCGTCGAAGCAGAGAATGAGTGTGCGAGGTTTGGGGACGTCTACGGTAGACGAGCTCTTGGCCTCTGGTATGTCAGGCGGAGATGGAGAGGCTGCGGAAGGACCAACAGAGGACATTATGATGGTGCTGGTCGAGGCGCAAGGAACTGCGACGAGCTCGGGAAGAGTAAGAGTGACCGTGGGCTATAAGTAGGGGATAGAGGGGCCCCTGAAGATGGGGGTGACGCGGTTGAGGGATCGGGTGACGGGGTTCCCAACGCTCATGTGGATGAACCTCGTCGGCCTCGGAAGAGAAATCTATCGAATTGGTTACGATGGGCCGAGCAGTCGAACGAGACGGGTAGGCTGGCAGCCAAGAGAAAAGCCATGGTAACATCCATCCCGGACGAGCCATTGCACGTTCGCCACATGATCCACGCCTGCGCGCAGCACGATCTCCGTACAAACGTTCATACCGTCCCATACCTTCGCCTTATCCGGAAGCTTCGGTTCTTGAGCTTCTCAGGCAACTCTATAGGCGACATACGCCGTCCACTAGCCTATTTCTGTGAGACTTCCACGAGAAGCCATCCGGTATGAATAGGAGGGGAGTAGCTTCCCATCACGGCTGTAAATGTTAACACCAGAAAGTTGCAGGGTAGAATTGAACTACTAGAGAATGATGCAAAGTGTTTCATGCGCAACTAACTCGGAGGGCGGTGGTGAGGTTTGTAGCACCAGTCTCAGGGCGGATGAAAGCCGCGCATTGAGGCAGTATGCAAATCTGTACTGACGTGTTAAGCTGCACTTAACAAGCCTTCTTAGCTCAGTGGTAGAGCGCGCCACTCGTAAGCAGCCTTCGCTGATACGGCAATGGTGAGGTCGGTTGTTCAATCCAGCCAGGAGGCATGTATTTTTGTCTGCTTTGATTTTTGTAGACTTGCAAGCTGCAACTTAGCCTTCAGCCTCTAGTTCAGCACAAATGTATACTCAGGCTACGAGGAATCGAAAGGTCTGTCCATACCCTGTACCATTTGCTTGTCGCGCTATCAATGACCTAGAGGTGCCATACACGTAGGGGAAATGCCACTGCGCCACCAGATATTCGTACCACAGTTGATCCAAGTCAAGCACTGTCTGTAGGTACATACCAGAGCTTCCTGAATCAAGCTATCTGGTTCGCACACAACTGTGCACAGTTTGACACACGGCGGTGCCCCATGATGCCTGGACCCCTAGCCATGGTGTCGTAACCTTCCGCCGCCCAAGTACGCCGTGAGACCCGACGAGGCCTATCGAGAGTTTGCATGAGCCGTTTCATTCGGCATGCCGAGCGTGTTGTACCCGTACGTACTATCCCCGATATTCAATTCAGAGACTGGGGTGCCTATAAGTGCTGTCCCAGCTCCCAGCCATTCTACCGGTTCCAACTTGGGCCCACACCATGTATCCTCTCACTCGCGAAGAGGCTGATGCCGTGCTACAGCTCATCGCTGCACACCAGGGAATCCTCGAGAATCCAATCCTGCAACAACTCTATGCTCGGCTGAAGTCGGAGCTCGATCCAGAAGCAGGCGGCGGGAGTCGCTCATCTATACTCGGCGAAGCAACACTGGGAAATGGAGCCACCGGGCAACGCACCTCACCTCGTGGAGTACCTCATCTCCCTGCGGAAGTGACGGACCAGATCATCTTCTTCGTCTGGCCCGACCGACAGGCACTTTGCCAGTGTGCACTGACATGCCGCGCTTGGCTGCCGGCAAGCAGACACCAGCTCTTCCGCGAAGTGGAAATCTGCTCCACACAGGCATACGACGCGCTCGTGTGCCACGTCCTGCACTCGGACGCAATGCGGCCATGGCTCGCTTCGGTGAGGCGTGTAAGGGTGGTGCACCCGTTCATCCCCAAGGCCACCAGTATGAGCCTCGGGATACCCGGTGGCCCCAGCGATCGTCGAGACTTCAAACAAGGTCACCGGTTCATCCATGAATTCGCGGGCCACCTGCCCAACCTGCAGAGCCTGGTCTTGACCGGCATCGACTGGTTGCAGTGCACCGCTCACCCCTCCCTCCATCTGGTGCTCGCGTCTTTCTCGCGTATCGAGGCGCTGGCGCTGGATTTCTGCCGGTTCATATCCTTCAACGCCTTCCGGCGGCTTATCGTCGCCCTCCCTGCGCTCCGTGCATTGTCCGTCGTGATCGCCTCGTGGCCGACAGCGAGCCCTCCACCCATGCAGATCGGAGCAACCCACAGTCCAGTTCCCCGCCTCGCCCTTACGCGGCCGCTTCTCCAGTGCATGAGAGAGGAGGGTTGTTCGCGGACGATACTCGAATGGCTCAGCACGACGCCATCCCGAGAGACGCTCCGGTCGGTCAGCTTTCCCCCTCAGTCGGCCATGTACCATCACACTTTCTTGCGATCTTTGAGCTCCTCCATACGCACACTAGAACTCGGCTTGCCCAGAGATGGTAGGTGCTCCTTCATAGCAGCCTACACAGCCCAGCATCGATGTTGACCCAGGAGATGCTCTTCAGGATCCGCCATCCCGTGGCCACTCTCGCATTTCTCGCACCTCGAGAGCCTCAAAATCTACATGTGCTCCAAAATCGCCGCCCCCGGACTCAGGTGGGACCTCATGCCCACGATGCTGAAGGAAGTGCAGCCGTCCCTGCGCACGCTGTCCTTCCATATGTATATTAACCTCTGGCTCTCTCGGTACGGCCACGCCCGCTACTCGCACGGGTTCGACGAGCGGAACTTGCACAGGCTGGATGCATTCTTCCAGGACGATCGATTTGTAGGCCTTCGCAGCCTCGAGTTCTTGCTCGACGTCAGTCCACTGCCTCAGAAGGATGAATACGAGGCAGAGATTGCAGCGGTTTTGGGTTGTGCGTTGCCAGATTCGTACGCTCGAGGCATCGTCGCCATAAATCTGGAGAAGGGTTCGGAGAGATTCGTGCCCGCGCCCTCCGTCCGACAATCCGAGCCGATTCCTTTCCTCCAGCAAATTCATTCTTGATCTGCGTGCATACGAATGGTGTATGATATACCAGCGTCAGCATCAGCGAAGTCTATGCCATCACTTGTAGGCAGGCCGGATGATTGTTACGCGCGCAAAGAGTGAGTTTCTTCCGCCCCAACGAACACCTGGGTGGAAAAGCGGACATGCAGGAAAGCGAAACCAAAGCTCCACGATGATAAAATACAACACAATACACGATGCAGCGCACAGTCCGCCTCCAGGGTAGAGCAATTCCTTCCTAGTACTACCGGCATAGCTTCCACATCCCGTCCTTGACCATCACCAAGCCCTCTCGACGCGCCGCCTCCATGAATTCGGCGAGCTGCTCGATGGTCCGGTCGTATCCTGGCGCAAACTTGAGCATGGTCTGTATCCGGGCCAGAGGGAGCGATCCCAGGTTCGTGAGCATGCCCTCGATGAACTGTGAGGGAGCGAATGCAGGATCAGCGCAGATCTTTCTGATACAGGTATGGGTAGGACGACTGACCTTCCAGTAGACCTTCATCTGCTCTGCCTGCTGTTGCTGGATCGTCAACGCGGGCGTGGGCTCTTCGATCACCGGCGCTGCAGACGATGTGTTAGCGATCTGCTGCATCAAGAGTTGACGAAGGGGATAGCGCACCCGAACGAGCAGGGGCCTTAGGTCCTGATGGCGCGGCCTCTGCGATCTCTAGCAGCTTGTACCTGCTCTCCACTTCTTCCTTGAGTACACCCAGGTCTATCCAGGTCGTGAGTGACTTTAGAATGGCGGTCTTTTCGACGGATTTGAGTTCGGCAACAAGCTCGTCGACCGTCCAGGTATCTATTGGTCAAGGTTGTCCGGTAAGCAACGTTTAATGAATGCTTGCCAAAACTAGCTTGATACCTTTCTGAGAGAACAGTTCCACAATGGAAGCCTCAAGCGGAGGCACCTCAGCCGTGATCGTTCGGTCCTGCAGCTCGATGTCGAGCTTGATCGTCCCAAGGTGAGAGAGCCAGTGCAAACGCTTGTCTGGCTTGAACAAGTGGAACTCCCTTGCGTACGATTCTTGGATTCTGTCGAGGAGTTGGTCAGTTGTGAACCAATAAGCCACACTGACTGATCCACGTACTCTCGGAATTGCCCAGGCATGGTGAAGCTGCTCGTTTGCAAAGGCGGCCAGAAATGTCGCGAGATGATGGTAGGATGGAGTGGCATCTAGCAAAACACCGTCAATGTTGGACGGCGACGAAGGAGTCGAGTGATACGCACGGATTTCTGCGCCTGTACGTGCTGGTCGATACGACGCGAATCTGTCATATCTCGCAGCATGACCTCGCAGACCTGCAGCGCCGCCTCCCCGAAGCGGATTTTGAGGATCTCAATGTTTCTCCTCTGTTGGTTGTTTCGGTCAAAACGTAGTCGAAGTATTTCGAACACTATAGCACATACCTCTCGCTCGTAATTGCCATCCTTGACAGCGAGCAATCTCTGCGTCAAGAGCACTTGCAGCTCCTTGACGAACAGATCCTTCGAATCATATATGCTGACCAACGTGCTAATGACATCGCTGGGTTTGTTCGTCCGGAAATCTAGGAGACATGCATGAGACACACGCCGGTCATGTTGACATCTGGATATGATTACCTGGCCCAGCATCGATTGGTTCAGGTTCCCAATTGGGATCGTTGTAATCATCCGCTTGCATTTGCTGCAGTGGTTGGATCGGCTCGTTCTCGTCGACTAGCGAGTCACCGCTCTCGCCATCGCCTACGAGACTTGCCACAATACAACGGATAGTGTCTGGTCTCTCTCTATGCGGAATGATCTGTCAGTCTCATGTTCCCGGTAGACCATGATAGCCATAACTCACCTCAGGTACTTGCGTATAGGATCCGCCACCTTGTAGAGCAGAACGCCAGGCGGATCGATGATCCGTAGACATCGGATGATAGAGACATATTGGGTCAATATGTCCTTGGTATCAGCGCCAGGATGAAGTAGGCGTTTCTTGTTTCTATCAACTACGTCAGCACATACAGCTTCGCTCGGTAAGCAATGCAGCTCACGCTTTTCGTAGTGTGACAACCAATTGACTACGTTGATCTACGCGCTGCAAGCATTCCTGAAGACGACCACGAACACGGTTAACCATCATGTCGAAATCCTCAAGCCCAGGTCGTGAGGAAGCGACCTTCAGATCCTGTAGCGCACTCTGAGATTCAGGATAGTCAATGATTATGTCGAATATCTCTTGTATTCTGAGGCGCCAATTGTGAGGTCAGAGATAGCGCACACATACAGTCAACGTACCGGAGGTCGCATAGCGTTTTGCAGGCGTGATAATCGAATCGTGATCCCACACCTTGCAACATGGTGCGCGCTTCCTCAGCTGAATCGCACGGATTAGTTATGAAAGGTGAAGCCACCGTCAACTGTAGTACAAACCATTTCTGGCACCCCGAGCATATGGCATGATCATCCAAGGTACGATCTTCTCGGTCATCCATTCCCTTAGTTTCGGTAACATGGGCTCATCCCACCTCCTTGCGCACGTTTCATACACGTGCGCCTCGATGTGTTCGTAACATACGCTAGAGATGAGCGACTCGTACCGATCTAGTAACCCGAGCGTTTCGCAAGCGGTCCAGAGCATATAGTCCGGACGTGGTGGTTGTTCCGTTGGGGGTATATCCCTTGGTATTGCCCATGGTGGTGGGCAAGATGCGTTCACAAGGTCAAACGTCGAGGCTATCAGCTCCTTGAAGCCACGAGAGAAGGAGGGAGGAAATATTGAGAAGATGTGAGTCTGAAACGCGAGAGTATAAGCAGAGAGAATGGTTGGCCCTAGTCTAAGGTGTTATGAGAGGCAGCTCCTGAATAGCGCAGGACCACACTCACTCTGCTATGGGTTTCCATGCGTTATAC